TGGAGACCAGCAGACCAGGGAGACGGGGAGTAAAGCCTTGGAGGACGCCGGCAGCGGGACAGCCACCAGCAGACCAGGGAGACGTGGAGCAGCTTTTCTCGCCCTGGAGGACGCGGGCGGCGGGACCGTGGCGCATCTGGGCATCCCACCACTCCCATCCTCCGGGGCGAGAAAAACATAAGTCGGATCCGCGTAACTCGGGGACTGCATGTATACCTAGACTTTCAGAAAGCCTTTGACATGGTCCCACATCAAAGGCTCTTAAGGAAACTAAGCAGTCATGGGATAAGAGGGAACATGCTTATAGATCAGTAACTGGTTACAAGGTAGAGAACAATGGTCAGTTTTCAGAATGGAGAAACTAGTGGTGTCTCCCAGGATGGGGCCCAATCTTAGTCAACATATTCATAAATTATCTGCAAAAAAAGATAAATAGTGATCTGGCAAAATATGCAGTTAAGACAAAAACTTCTTGAGATAGTTCAGTTCAAAGCTGACTGGGAAGTCTTACAAAGGAGTTTCACTGTACTGGATGATTGGGCAACCAGATGGCAGAGGACATTAATTGTTGATAAGTACGAAGTAATGCACATTGGAAAATATAATCCCAAAGAGAATATGTACAATATGACAGTCTAAATTAACTGGAGCCATTCAAGAAAGAGATCTTGAAGTCATTGTGGATAGTTCTCGGAAAAAACATCTTCTCAGTGTACAACAGTGGTCAAAAGAAAGCCAACACAATATTAGGAAATATTACAAAAGGGAAATATAATAAGATACAAAATATCTTTTGTATACAAGAACAAGGAGCAATGGTCTCAAGTTACAGTGGGGGAGATCTAGGTTCTTCTTCACACAGCGTGTTGTCAACCTGTGGAACTCCTTGCCAGAGGAGGCTGTGAAGGCTAGGACTATAATAGAGTTTAAAGAGAAGCTGGATAAATTCATGGAGGTTAGGTCCATAAAAGGCTATTAGCCAGGGGATAAAATGGTGTCCTTGGCCTCTGTTTGTCAGAGGCTGGAGAGGGATGGCAGGAGACAAATCGCTTGATCATTGTCTTCGGTCCACCCTCTCTGGGGCACCTGGTGCTGGCCACTGTCGGCAGACAGGATACTGGGCTAGATGGACCTTTGGTCTGACCCAGTACGGCCGTTCTTATGTTCTTATGTTCTAAGCTCAGGGCTCAGAGTCGGGGTCTCACTCGACCACCTTGATTTTCAGGCTAATTTGGCTACGGCAAATCAGGATTTTAAGTCCCGACTTGACAAAGTCCTGGCTGGGCTGATTTAGTTGGGTTGGTCCTGCTTTGGGCAGGGGGCTGGACTCGATGGCCTCCTGAGGTCTCTTCCAGCCCTAGGATTCTATAATCACATGGTCTCTAAATAAATCCATGGTGCACCATACAGATGTGCATTAGATACATTAGAACTGGCAAAGGTTCAGAAAAGGGCAACACAATTTATTCGGGCTTTGGAATAGCTTCCATATGAGAAGCAATTAATAAGACTGGGACTAATCGGGTGGGAAAAGAGATGACTGGAAGGGACATGATAATGTATAAAATCATGACAGGTGTGGAGAACATAACTAAAGTGCTTATTTGCTCCTTCACAAAACACAAGAAACAAGGATCACACAACAAAAAGTATTTAACGCAAGACAACTTGTGGAACTTGTTGCTGGGAATGTTGCAAATGGCAAAATAATAACAGTCTTTCAAAAGGAATTAGGTAAGTTCACAGATACATTAGAAACCAGGAGAATGTGGGCCAGGTCCATGGGTGGCTATTAACAAAGGTAGCCAGGGATACAAGCCTATGTTTCAGGTGTCCCTAACCTCTGCTGCCAAAAGCTGGAAGTGCATGACAGGCAAGGGTTACTCTGCTCACCCCTCTCACGCACCTGGCACTGGTCACTGTCCATAGCCCGGCTGCTGGCCCACGCTCGCCTGGTTTCTTCGCTGACCATTCTTATTACCTGTCCACCTTGAACTTACACTCTTCAGCCTTAGTTCATCTTTGGGGTTTCTTCCATGTGCCTCTGTCTACATTCTGCTTGCCTGCCATTCTCCTTAGGACAGTATTTCCTGCCAGCTCTATCTTCTTCTCCTTCAGCTCTATCAGACCCATGGTTTCTAACCGCAGGCGAAGACAAACACGCAGAACATGCACTTTTCCTTTCACTTTGCACATTGCACAATACACTTGCCACCTTTTTTGCTGCAGCACAGGGGGCTCTTCTACATTCTCTAGGTCTGGCTATCATGTCACTAAGTGTACAATGCAGATCTTTCCTTCTAGCTTGGTGTCTCTCCTGCAACTTCAGTCAAGATTTCTTCTTCCGACTTCTGCACGTGTGCAATGCAGTGTTCTTTGTCAACAAGTGCAGTCCTGTGGCACCTTAGAGCAGGGCCGGCTCGAGCCATTCCTGTGCCCTGAGCAGCAGGCGTACGATGCATGTGCAGCTCCATCCCCGGGCACATGGCACATGCACAGCCCTGCCCCCCGGCACGCTGCGCACCTTACAGCAGCAATTGGGCTCACGGAGCCTGATGGCAGCTTTAAGGGGCACGGCCTCTGGCCCTGGGTGTGTGGTGCCCCCCATAGGTTAGTGCCCTGGGCAGCTGCCCGGCTAGCTCCCCCCCTTAATCCGGCCCTGCCTTAGAGACTAACAAATGTATCAGACCACAAGCTGGGTGGGACAAAACCCACTTCATCTGGTGAGTTGGAGTGGAAATAGCAGAATCCAGAATACAGTAATTACTTGTTTAACATGTGCCCGCTTAACTCGTTTTCGCAATAGCACGATTTTTTTGGGGACCTTTTTTCAAATAACATGACCGTCCCCGAAATAACACAAAAATAATCAAGTAGCAGACTACTTCACGCAGCAATATAAGTTGGTGAAAACAGTGGTAATATGCAGGGCTCGCCAGCCGTGTGGTTCTGCACTCTGCGCATGCGCAGATCACTCTGCACTGGCTCTTCCGGGTTGTAATCTACTCGCCATGGGTGAGTAGATTACATTATTTGTAGCCCTGGTAATATGCTTGAGCAGATGAATACACGTGATCACAGTGCTTCTCCGCTCACTCGTGTTTATCTTTGTGTTTTAACAAACCAGGCGACTTGTGGTGCTAGATACCTAGTGCTGACGTTGCCGACCCAGCACCAACAAAAAATTGACTTTGCCACCACCACCTGAAATGCAACCCCCACCTTTTCCATTCTTTTTAATGGGAAAATTGACCCCATAGCACATTTTTGCTCAGCATGAACATTTTCAGAAACAGTGTTTAGTGTTAAATGAGGAATTACTGTAAGCAGAACCCACCTGTCAAGCGCAGGACCCAAGCTAATGATGCTAATTGGATCATAGAATCATAGGCCTGGAAGGGACCTCGAGAGGCCACTAACCTGTTCTGAAATATCTCCAGAGAGGGAGATTCCACCAGCTCCCCGGGGGAGGGGGGGGATGACTGAGTCCCCCCTTCACGGTGTAACTGCAGCTAGCAAGGCCGGGCCCCCTGGGCTGTGTGTGCTGCCCCCCCCCAGCTCTGAGCTGGGGGGCAGCGCCCGGGCCTGGGGGGGCAGGGACCCCCCCGCCTTTCCGGGGGCCCCCGCTCTGCCCCGGGCCTGGGGGGGCAGGGACCCCCCCGCCTTTCCGGGGGCCCCCGCTCTGCCCCGGGCCTGGGGGGGCAGGGACCCCCCCGCCTTTCCGGGGGCCCCCGCTCTGCCCCGGGCCTGGGGGGGCAGGGACCCCCCCGCCTTTCCGGGGGCCCCCGCTCTGCCCCGGGCCTGGGGGGGCAGGGACCCCCCCGCCTTTCCGGGGGCCCCCGCTCTGCCCCGGGCCTGGGGGGGCAGGGACCCCCCCGCCTTTCCGGGGGCCCCCGCTCTGCCCCGGGCCTGGGGGGGCAGGGACCCCCCCGCCTTTCCGGGGGCCCCCGCTCTGCCCCGGGCCTGGGGGGGCAGGGACCCCCCCGCCTTTCCGGGGGCCCCCGCTCTGCCCCGGGCCTGGGGGGGCAGGGACCCCCCCGCCTTTCCGGGGGCCCCCGCTCTGCCCCGGGCCTGGGGGGGCAGGGACCCCCCCGCCTTTCCGGGGGCCCCCGCTCTGCCCCGGGCCTGGGGGGGCAGGGACCCCCCCGCCTTTCCGGGGGCCCCCGCTCTGCCCCGGGCCTGGGGGGGCAGGGACCCCCCCGCCTTTCCGGGGGCCCCCGCTCTGCCCCGGGCCTGGGGGGGCAGGGACCCCCCCGCCTTTCCGGGGGCCCCCGCTCTGCCCCGGGCCTGGGGGGGCAGGGACCCCCCCGCCTTTCCGGGGGCCCCCGCTCTGCCCCGGGCCTGGGGGGGCAGGGACCCCCCCGCCTTTCCGGGGGCCCCCGCTCTGCCCCGGGCCTGGGGGGGCAGGGACCCCCCCGCCTTTCCGGGGGCCCCCGCTCTGCCCCGGGCCTGGGGGGGCAGGGACCCCCCCGCCTTTCCGGGGGCCCCCGCTCTGCCCCGGGCCTGGGGGGGCAGGGACCCCCCCGCCTTTCCGGGGGCCCCCGCTCTGCCCCGGGCCTGGGGGGGCAGGGACCCCCCGCCTTTCCGGGGGGCGGGGGAGAGCGCCGGGAGCCCCTTCGGGAACGTGGGGGGGGAAGGAGGAGACCGCGGTGGGGAAGAGAGCGGGGGGCCCC